GTCTGAGCAGGAAATAACAAAATTAAATTCATCCTAGGGGAGAAGTGTGGTGCATGTAGGGTGGGAAGAGAATGCAAATATACTATTTATAGGACTAGGGGAAAACAAATTTCGACTTGAAGAGCAAATGTGAAGGACTTATCATGGGAAAACCAGACTTGGTGATCTAAGCTACTCAGATCAGTGCTGTCAGATTGCTTTTCCATTTTTGAGAATTATATTTTCGTTACATCCCAGTGAAGAAGAAAAGTTTGACATTGAAATCTGTGCTGCATAACGTACCTTCCAGCGGTATCCTTTCAGGAGTTTATGCTATGGATGAGACTTGTCAAGTGAAAATATTTGAACCCTTATTTTTTTAAGCAGCACGAAAATAGTTGAAGACAGTGTCTGCTCCAGGGAGTTTATGCAGTACGGGCAGGCAGAGCCACAATCAGGATGGGAGACAGATGATTTGATTTGCTCATGGTCAGACAGGAGGTCAGCGGCAGAGCTAGGAGTGGAGTCCACTCCCTGGAGACGAGGTCCGTTCTCTTGCTCATTAAATGTGATGCTTCTGGTGCTGCATTGAGATTGATGAGGAGAACTTCTGTGGGGAATACAGGAACAGTGGCTCTACCTCAGGAATATCCTTCCTCAAGGCAGCATGCTGTCCTGGTGCTGCAGATTGTAATGGGAAAATGTGGGACATACATTTTTTATGTAATTTCTTTTACTTAATATGTGATTTTTTTTGTTTTGTTTTGTTCGTAAATAGATGCTAAGTCCTTCTTGCCTTCAACTGTGATTTTTCAAACAGATTCCCACACATTTTCTTACCATGGTCTGTGCTTGCAGCTCCCTTCTTTATACTAGGTCATGTGCTACTTTTAAGGCATTTGCATATCTTTAGTGTTTCATGTAACTAAGTGTGGAGCTTTAGCGAGTAGCTGATATCTCATCCTTCTTCCAGGAAAATAAATCTTGCCTGATAGGAGGTCCTACACTAAACTAACAGCTTACTGTCCGACTGAGGAGCCGAGCTGCAACCTTTACCCATAGGCCTGTCACAGCTGGCTGTACCAGTTTCCAATCGCTGTGCAATCTCGCTTCTTTCCGTGGGTGTGCAGCAGCCTTGAGGTATGCCCAGGAATGGGGAAGGGGTGAGGTGACCCGCGGGAAGAAGCAGTAACACACCACAGCGCCCTGGGAACTCCACATACCGCGGCTTACAAATGCGCAGGTGACTTGTTTGCCTTTGGCTGGATTTTGTGGTTGCAGTTTGTATATCAAAGTGCAGATCGTCACTGAACCTTGCTTGGAATGGCCTCCAGAAAAAAGAGAAGGCTTGGATGATTTCAGTATTCCTTCTTTCCAGGACATATCTATTGCAGAGCTGGGAAGATACTTTTGATTTATGTAGGCTGACTTCTGGCATACCGGGGGGTATTGAGCAGTCCTTAGACTTCCTGCAGCCTGGTCCTTCTGCCTCTTACGGGGGGACCTTCCCCCTCTCTTCATACCAGTTCTTCATTGCTCCTGTTGTCTCTGTTCCCAACCCCTGTTCTTGGTTAGCCTCAGTCTACCTGTGGGTTGCCAAGATCCCCTCTTCTTTCAGGAGAAGGAGAATGCTCCCCTCACTTCTGTCAGGGCTTTGACTATTCTGTCTTTACCCCCAGCAAAGTCCCTTCTTCTCATTCTAACCTCTTCCTCCCTAACGTGTTTTGAGGGAAAAAGTCAGGATGCAAACATGATATGTTTGGAAGCAATGAGAACCAAGTATTTGGAGTGGGATGAAACCCTATTGATGAGAATGGAGGCCTTTCCTCCTAGAAAAGGAGTTTTAGGATGGGTAGGCAAAAGCCACAGTCAAGATCCCTGGTAGCATTCAGTCTAAGCTGTGGAACAGTGGCTTTAGCTGTAGGAGATGGTGTTTCAGCCCACCCCCCTAATGCAGGAGCTCCCCCCGCTGTGCACAGACTTGTTTGTAACGGGCGGTGGATCTGCAGTGTCCCACCATGTCTCCTGTGGGCCGGCCAGCCCGTGTCAGGATGTACACGGTGGAGAACGCCACGCCGTGAGGCGGGGAAGGAGCACAGTGAGAAGCAGAGAAAACTTAAGCCAAGCACTTAGCAGGAAGGTTCTTGGAACATCATCTCCAAGCTCATTTCTGGCCCGATTGTGAAGAGGAAAGCTCACTGGATGGGCTGTTATGGGAAAATACGTACAGCAGTGAGAAAGCAGAAGGTCATGACCAAGCCAGGCAGTGACATCAGATGGGCCTCTTGCCTGTGCTGAGCTCCCTCGGAGGGGACAGAGCACGTGCACTCCAGAGACATCTCAGTTTAGGGGTGTGCACAACTGAAGGTGCAACTGTGTAGGAGAGCACAGCTGACAGCAAGTTTAAGAGCAGGGGTACAAGCAGAACAAGCTGCAGCAGTGGTTAAAGTCACATAGTCCCACTAGCATATGGCGCTAAGCTGAGGGAGCGAGCTGGCTTGTCTCTCGTTGGCACAGAGCACAGCCCCAGGACCGTCGGGGGTGCCCAGGCCTCGGCCGAGCCCATCCCAGCTCCTGGGAGCCCGGCGGGCTGCGGTGGACCCGCCTGCCCTGTGCTGCTCTGCAGCCCGCCTCTGGCAGGAGAGAGCAGCCCGAGGGTGGAAAAAAGGAAGCACTATCCTCCCCTTTTTATAGAAAGAGGTACTGAGACTGAGAACGACTGACTGGGATTTCCAAGGTAATTTCTTTTAGGTTTTATGCTCCAAAGCCATGTTAGGAAGTTACAGGTGAAAGGTTCCTCTGGTTTCAGCTGGGGGTCAGAGTGTAAATGCTGAGGGATGGCTGATGTCTTCCAGGACGTGGCAGTCCTTTGACTGCACAACTGCCCCTCCCAAGAGTGGCACTGCTGGGCCTTTCTGTGTTCATCACATGAAGAGTTTGAACCCTTGTATTAACCCACTTCTTGATAAATCTCAAACTTCATGGCACTGCTGTCTGGATTCAGAAGTGTGTGGGCAGAGACAGACTTGTTACACCTGATAGTTGTGAGGCGTCAGATGGCTCATAAAACAAAGCCCTTGGCTAACTTCACAGGGAAGCGCAGGCTGGAAATGCCTTATCAAGGGCTGCCGGCCCTCTGCGTCGCACAGAACGGGCGGCTCTGCTGCGGGAGCGCAGCCACAGGAAACACCCAGCCTGGGGCTTGCTTGGGGGCTGCAGCACAAGTGCTCTGTGTGCTCATTCCGTTCCCCTGGAAATAGCTTAGTTGGGAAGTTTCAGCCACAAACAGCCAACTGGAGGTGCTGGACTCCAGCACTGAGGTGGGGTCACTTACTCAGACGTTGCCATCCCAAGGGTGGCCTGCGGGGCCTTCCCCGCTCCTGACGACCCATCTCTGGCCATATGCAAAACCAGCCCCACAGCAGCTCCAGTCCCAAGAAATTGTGACTGTGGCTAGAAACAGGGTCTCATCAGCCATTTGAAAAGCATGGTATTAGCAATGTCAGAGCGTAGCTCCCCTGTGCAAGTACAGGAGCTCCTGCTTAGTGCTGGTTTATAGTTGCCTGTGTTTTATCCCTCGCAGAGCCTTGCTGATTTAACAGGATGATGTGTACGAGCGCATCGATCAACCTCATGGTTGTACTTTTGCAGGACTGGGTCACAGTAAACGAGAGGTAGAAAGAATTTCCCCCTTAAAACAAGACAAGTGGTTCCCCTGTACTGCCAAGGAAGACTTTGCATTTGTTCTAGGACAGTTACTACAAAGTAGTAGCTTTCCCAAACTGCTAAGCAGGCCAGAAGCATTATGCTCTATATGGAGGTCATTTGGTTGAGATCAAATGCACTGTCTGTTTTCCCTATAAAACCTGACATATCCTTTCTCTGGGGAGGGAGGAGGATCTAACTCTCCCGTGTGTGACTGAGGTTGTGCATCCAAGTCATGTATAGCATCATTAAGATACATCGACCAGAAATGAGCAGGTAGATACTATAGCAGTCAGAGAATCTGTGTTTGTTTTTTTCCTTTACATGTGTAGTCTGATCTTGTCCCAAATGCTAAAATTTGTTGACTAAGAAGATGTTTCGCTTTCTAAATCATGGATCAACTCACTTGCTTTGAGGCATTGTTTTGTTAGGAAGGTTTTGAAGCTTAAGTCTGCCCCATGGGAATGTGTGACATAGTAAAAAATCTGTTGAGAATATTTTCTTTTTGATAAGCAAACATAAGGCACAAATAATGCTCCTTCTTGTAATTTTGTTTTTCTGTGCACTACTCAGTAACCTAAAGTAAAGATTTCTGTGTAGTGTGTTTGGCATGAGGTGGCCAGGAGGTAAAAGCTTCGGAATAAAACTTCAGAACAGACTAGAAGACTTACAACAATCATCTAGTCCAACTGCCTGAATTTTTGTTCTTTTAAGATCATCGTTTTTAATGTTGATTTTGTAATAGAAATGCCCATCAGATAACGGTCCCCAGAGTCTTTGGGTACGTTGGCTATTCCTGCCTCTCTGATCATCTATCCCAAATGAAGGACAGATGTGAAAGAATACAACAAACACGCGGGGCCGGTGGACGAGCGGGCGGATTGTCCTGCGGGTTAGAGAGGCAGTACCACAGCAAGGCAGGATGAGGTTGCGTGTGCACGTGCCGTGCCTTTCAGCTGAGTGTAATTCATGGTTGGGAGTGGTTTGGATGCCCTGTGGTGGTGTGTTGGCATGACACCCAGCCTCTGCGCAGAACTTCTGTTGATAGGGGTTTAGAGAGAGTCCTGCAGGGATGCGCCCTGCAGGGTCCTGCCTTCTGCTGAAATGTTGAAGAGGAAAGGTGCTGGCTGTGAGGGAAACGCTTCCCTGGATGGGTTTCCCTGGGTGCTTGTAAGAGTCTGGCATTTTTATATCATGCAAGAGCCCAAACAATCAAACAAGCCAGCATCCCCTTGGCCAGGTGCTGTACAAGCATTGCCTGGGAAGGTGACAGGCATCCCCAGGAACTTACCAGTTTGCTTTCTGAATCCCAACAGGTGAAGCTGATTGACTACATCCACAGACAGCGGCAGTGCAAGCTGAGCGTGCCCCTGAGCGACCGCACGGCAGAGCTCAACAGCTACCCGAGGTTCAATGACTGGCTGGACATTGTCAACGTCAGGAAGGAAGTTGTACAGGTAAGGGCAAGACAACCCTCAGCACAGAACCTTCCCGCCCTTTCACTTCGCTCCCGCTGCCTGCTGGGTTTAAGTTGGTTTCCTGAACTTACTTTCCGGCAAGGTGGGAGTGGGTGTGTCCTCAGAGGGGCCTTTGGTGCCAGGGTGCTTCCCCTCACCCAGCGGGAGTGCTGAACCACTCCCTTCCCTTTGTGCTCCTCCCAGAGTTAGGGGGGATCTTCTCCTAAGGGCATCCAGAGCAAACACAGACAAAGGTCCTGCCTTACCAGGACACCTCTCCTGCCTGCCAGGTCTGAGAATGGCACAGTAACTTGACCCCGACGGCCTTTAGAGAGTAACACCACTGCTCCCGACTCTATTCTCTGTCCTGTACTAGCCACAAAAGCAACAAGAGTTGCAGTTCCATGCACTGACATATCCAACAAATGGACAAAAACGTTGAGTTGTTACAGCCTATTTATTTCTAAAAGCATGCACACCATAATTATGAAGTAGTGGAGATCCAAAAATAGCCAGTAGCACTGTGTCCCTCTAAACTTAGACTAGCAGAAGGGGTCAGGGTTTACAAGCTTGTCCCAGACTGATGGTTTTGATACTGTAACCTCACACAGCATTTAGACTAAAATCACGTGGACTGAAACCCAGTAATGGGCCAGGGGGATTTTGATCTGGGTTTTTACTGGCTGGGAGCCTTTGCTCAGAAACAGGAGAGGTTTTTTTTCATATTATACACCCCCATAAGTGTAAAGTCTGTGGTTCAAACTGATAGGAAAGCGCATTGCATCAGTGTAAAAGAATGGAATGAGTAACTCTCCTGGGGTCTCTCTGTGGTGGTCAGCATCAGCTGTTCATGCTCGCAGACCGTGGCTCCTTCTGATCTTTACAGTTTAATTCTTAACATGCAGATCGCTGGAAGCCTCTTCAGTGCACAGAATAATCTGACATTTCTGCTGGAATCAGAAACGACCATAAGCCAAGGCCCCCTGCTCCTGTCTCTGACACCTCTTTTGGGGATTTTTTTTGTTGTTGGCTTTTGGGGTTTTTTTTGAAGAGGAGCCTGAAATCCTCTTAAACTAAAAAAGTTTAGGTGGTTACTGGGAACTCCAGGGCACTGACAGCAGATTGTTCCCTTGGGTCTGGAGGGTGGTGGCTCCCCCATGCTGTTCTGTACTGGGGACACGAGTTCAGGGTAATGTTAATGGCAACAGAAGTAGAGCTCAGTCCGTTGATGGCTAAACAGAGCAGAAAAGGCTTTTTCCATTCTTTTTCTCGTTTTTGGCTCTGCGGGCCAGATCACAGCATTCTCAGTTCAGTTTCCTTTGATCCTTACACAAGCAAAAATTTTCTTTGACTTCAGCAGGAATCTGCCTGAGTGAAAAAATCAGCAAATTTTCATGGAAGTTATTTCAACTTGGTCCTGATGTAGCTAAGCAGACTCTGGTGAAATAGGATGAGTTCAGGACCGAGTTGTTCCTTTTATTCACTACTGTTTGTTTCGAATGGGCTGCTGGCTCTCGCCTTCCAGCAGGGTTGTGGGTAGCAGCTAAAGGTGCAGCGGTGACAATAAGAGAACAGAAAAGCAGCCTGTTGCTGTGGCCAAACTGCCAGGCTCCCAACTATTGTTGGTTTCTAAGGTTACTGGAATTGCCTGAGCCTAAAAGAATGTCTTTGTAGCTCTTTTTTTAAAATCCTTTGTGATGCCTGCAGAACTGGGGGAAGGGAAGAGGTGAAGAGAAGGGGTGGAGGAAGGGGGGAGGGAGGCGGACAGTTCAAATTTGCCACATCCCGCTAATTCAGGGAGCAAAGAGGGTTGAGACTGCCCTCCTGTATGTGTGGTCACTAAAAAGGGTGAACAAATTAGATTTTGGTCTAAGGCAGGAAGAGAACATTTTCCAGCTGTTTATTTTTTTTATTCGTTTTCTCTTGCTGCCCCCTCCCAAGCACCGACCAGTGTAATGAGCTGTGTTCCTTCTGTTCTCTGTGACAGAAATGTGAGAGGTGTACAAAACATTTAAATTCCGCTGTGATTCCGAGTGTATGGGTGTTTTTTAAAAGTTGTGCATCCATTTCATGCAGCTGCAGACAGCTTCTGTAGCATTTATATTAGCTGGACAGGAGAACTGCAACAACACCTGTTGGGTCGTTAAAATTATTTTTGAGTAGGCATGCTGGAACAGGCTGTCATCTGGGGGAAATGGAAATAGCTGGGCTAATAAACTAATTGCTCTCTTCTTGCAGTGATTTTTTTTTTTTTTTCCCCTGGTATTTCACTGCTTAGAAAATAGCAGTGCAGCCACTGCTGGTGTCTGTGGCACGGGCATCAGCAGACAGTGCAGGGGAGATGTTTGGCTGTGGTGAATTGTCTTTCAGCAATGTGACAGGTATCATGGGATCGTTCCTGCTGGTGCTTAGATTTCATACAGCATGTAAACTTGATTTCGGCTGAATGCTTTCCAAATGGAAATCACTGACAGAAGGAGCTTTAATAGGTTAGTTATTAAGAAGTACATAATGGTTTCCCTTAGCTTTACGCGCGCTGCCTGCGCCAGGACTGGGGAGGGAGGTGGTGGGGGAGCCTGCAGAGAGGTGGCTGAGTCGGGCAGACGGTGACAGCGGGGCCACGCGAGTGCCCTGCCTGGCTCTGTGGCTGGTGTACAGGGTGCACGGCTTATCTCTAAGACAGCATCAGCTCACTGTAAAACTGAAATTGTCATACTGGGTTTCCTTCTTAATGCTTCCAAAAAGCGCCACAGCGAGAAGGAAAACCTCACAACTGTTGTGATCGTGTGTTCCTGCTCAGCACACAGCCCTCTCTCTTCTTGAGACCTTTAGGCTCTGAAACTAGTTGGAGAAGTTGCCAAGCAGCCGTAGAGTCTGGGCCAGCTGCAGCAGGGCCCTTTCCTGGGCCGCTCGGAGATGGAAACAGAAAGGGCAGGTAGGACACAGGAGGTGTGTGCGGGATCAGGGCTCTCCTGCTTGTCAGGAGCAAACCTGGAGAGATGCCGCACTTCATGGTTTTTTGCTTTTTTAAATGGTTCTGATTCCATTTGGATTTCTAACCTTGCTGCTGGAGGGAGTATTTCAAGTTTGTGCTAATCTGTGACATAACACCTTTGAAAAACAGCCTAATTGCACGAGGTTTTTTAGCTCAGTAGAGAAACAATGCTCTTTTTCTCCCCCTCTCTTCCCCTCCCCTCTCTCTCCCCCAGTCCTCTCCCAAATAAAGCTGCCATGCAGGGAAGCACAGAAGCTCCCAGGCTCTCCTGTCAGAAATAGAGCACCAGCTCTAATTTAGAATATCTGCTGACTCCTCCAGTCCAGAGTGAAGACTATTTTTGCTCAGTGACTTGCTCTAGACATTGTGAAGCTTGAAAGCTCTTGCTGTTGTAATTGCTGTCTTGTTGTCGGGCTCCTTTCTTTCTTTGAAAACCTATATTTAAAGCAGGAATAATGACTGCTTGTAAAATCCTTTAGTTCTGGAAGAGATTATAGTAATAACAATGCACTGTTTATGGCGCTGGGCAACAGCTAAAACTCCTGTGAACATGGGTAACAGTCAGCCGGTGGTGCTGCGTGGAGTGAAAGGGCTGCTCTGTGTGGACCTAGCAGGCTTGGAGGTAGGTGGGGAATATCGGCTTTGAGTCTGTGGTCCTGTTTGCTCTCTGTCAGTACACAATTCTGAGGGGTAAGGAAACTCTGAACCCCCACCCCAACTTGGGCTATTTCTGTTTCTTTGTTATTGTTCCTCTAATCAGTTGCCAGACGGATTTTTATTACAGAAAACGGTGGCTAGTGTGGACAGGCTCTGCTTTGGAGCTGGGCTAATACTGCTCTGTAACTTTAAAAATATTTTTTCTATGAAGTGCTGGAGTCCTTGGTTTTGGCTAGGAGTCCTGGAGATTGGTTGTGTATGTGTAGTTTAATACCAAGAATGATGGATAAATGGTTAAATATGGTGGATTGAAACGGGGAAAAGATATACTTGGACTGAGAACTGGAAAAGACAGGACAAGGAGCCATGCAGACAGAAGATACGTTTAAGCTGTGTTGTGGTCTGCGGTGGGTAAAAGTTGCTCTGAAAATGGACCTAGAAAAATATACTGATCTGGGTTGTCCTGCTCCCCTTGAGAGTCCGAGTGCAGAGCTGAGGGGGGAGCGGGAGGGAAGGAGGGTGTGAGCAGAGCGCTGTCCCCGCTCAGGCTGATGGAAGAGGTCTCTTGGAGAGCTACTTACTGGCTTCTGGGCTTGGGGCATGTCTAACAAAAAGAAGAGATTAAAAGAATATCTATTCACTTATTTTCTTTACTGCAGAAAAAAAAATTCCTCTCTGCCTTTAACGTTGTTCTTCCCAGAAACCTAAGGATTGTATTTGTTCCCATGTACAACCTGTCACCATCGTAAAAAGTAACATAAGAACATAGTTATCTCCTTATCATCTCCTGAAACATGTCTGAACCAGCCCCGCTCACCATGTGGCAGGGGTTCCAGTCAGTCAAGTTTGGAAAGCTGTTTTTAGAGTAGATAACTGTCAGGCACAGGGAGGGGCAGATCCTGCCCCCGTGATTGCTGCCTGTGAGCAGAACTTTGCCACCAGGGAGACTCTGGGGGGGCAGGTGAAACAGTGCTGGGGTCTGGTTTACAGCTCTTCCATTTGGGGAATGTATTTGACTCCTAATGTGTATTTTTTTTGGTAATACCTCTGGTTTGCTTGTGAAACTTGTCTCGTTCCCCATGTGGCATTTATGCCACAGACCTACTTTTTTAGCAAGTAGTCAAGGGTGGTTCCTGAGCAAGGCAGGGACAGCGCTTGGCACACGGGAACAGAGCGGGAAAGGCTCGTGCCTTGAGTAGGAATTGTCTGCCAAGACTCTCCTGCTGCCCCTGTGGAAATGTGCAGAGGATGAGACGTTGGCACAGGGCTGATGCTGGGAGACCACGGCAGATGGTTGTGCTTGCACGGACGGGGATCTGGCTTGTAGCAGATCGTGCTCGTCAGCCGC